TCGAAAGTACAGCCGCATATACAATCCTTACCACGCGGCCGCGATTTATATATACTTCGCAAGTATTTCAAAGATAGCAAATACACGCGTGATCGATGTCGGTTTAATGCGCCACATCGGATCAGCCATTAGTCAGCGTGCCTGCGTAACCCACAATTAATTATTATCCTGATAAATGTCACACACTAGGTGTTTCGACGATAAATCGTTATATACGCGGGGCGCGTTACCGTCAAAGTGTACATATACCTAATCGTGCAGGTGTCGTATAATTTAATGATCGCTTCATGTCCCCACGTTCAAGGTTTGACACTCGTTCGCGCGCTGCTCGTGACATCCGGAAAACCGAAAGCTGCTTACAAATGGCGTGATATCTTTTTCATCCGCCGTGCTTTTGCGTTATTTAATACTTGTGTTTAGTGACATACAAAATAAACGTGAGATATCATTGAAAGGAAGTAGTATCATATGCGGTGAATAATAAATGGGAGAATTTTTTTCACTGATCAAAAAGAAAAAAAGCGAACAGAATCGAAACGAATTAGATACAATAACATATCGGACGGATGCTATAAAATTCAATGTAATCCGATGAAGTATCGAAAAAAAAGAAACATTTTTTTACCTCGGTAAATCGCATCTCGTTTTAGTTGAATGCTTTTAACAAGTAATTTTTCAAACAATGAGTAATTTTTTGGTTCATTATCAAGATGAATTATTACTTAGAAACAATTAAGTGGCTTGTTAACGCAAACCGTAAAGTCTTTATTACGACAATTTATTACGACAAAACAGATCCCGCGCGTTACGTTCTGCAAATTTAGTCGCAGTAATTGAGCGTTAAGCAAACTCCTCAGCTTCTATATCTTCCAAGCTAAATATGGTGCTCTAGTACCATATGTTGTTTATGATCTCCTGCTTACGCGAAAATAAACAGGTCCCCTATCAAAGCGGAGCTAGCCCTTCCGGAGAAATCCCCAAAGGACCATCCGGGGAACTTTGTTTCCAACCAACAACGCTTTCCAGGTGTGTCATCTCAGGAGAAAAGCACCAGAAATGGATAGAAAAGAGGGAGAAAGAGAGAGAGAGAGAGAGAGAGAGAGAGAGAGAGAGAGAGAGAGAGAGAGAGA